ACAAATACGTTTGTCCAGAGAAACACACACACACACACACACACACATCAAGTGACTATAAAACAAGTCTGCCAAAATGACTTTTTCCCCGTCTGTCTGAAAGGTCGGACGGATCAGGTAGCCTTGCCTGAACAATAAAAGACTGCACTCACCACAGAAATCACACAAACATCTTGACAAGCTAGCGCCAACAGGTTTATGAAGTGGCGCGGGGCGATTTATCGGAGCACTCGGCCAAAAAAACAGGGAAGTTGAATGCCTTTTTTCTTAAAGGGTAATGTGATAGAAACGGTGGCTGGGCGTAAAGCCCCCAGCCACTTCCTGTGCAGTGTACTTTCGCTACTTCAGATTCCTTTACAGTATCCACGTAGTCGGAACACAAAGGGCTACAGCTTTTCCACAGTCTGCAATTACAACCCCCTTAAAGAAAATGATGTGCCATTAGAAGTGGGAGTGTGTTTGGCAGGCAGAGAGATGGCAGATTTAGGGCGAGTTATTGATTGGAAAAGTGGGGTCTGTCACAGCACATTAGTTCTCAGGGGAGTAATCCACAGCAGGTTGCTGTGAGAAGCATCTGCTGCTGGAGAGAAGTAATTAAAAACAGGATGTTGAGGCAGTTGCCATATAAACAGGAAATAAGACGGCGGTAATAGACACTTCATGCTGATGCTGTGAGATGGTTTTACACCACGTCGACTTAATGGATGCAAAGCGCGTACCTCAGGTGAAAAAGCTCAAGGTCAGGCCGGACCCATATTGAATACAGATTAGTGTGTGTGTGTGTGTGTGTGTGTGTGTGTGTTAGCCGGTGACTACTATGAATTAGGACATTTGGCTCGGAGACATTGTGTAATCCAAACTTCTCCTAACTGGTACTTTCCATTCCCATTATAGATCTTGTGAAATAGAGAGTAAGTCCACACTTTCCCACGACTTACAGCACGACGCTTCCTCCTTCGTGCTGTCTGGTTTACCCCTCCATTAAAAAAACAAAGGTCACGTCTATCTTTCACATATTTAGTTTTTGATGATTAACTTACTTCCCTGCTTACTACATTATTTAGTGTTTTTATCACGGTGTTTTGTACTGGAAGCTGCTCATTCGGTCTAATTCTTATTCCCAGGAAATAACTCTCTATCTGCTTGTCCTCTCGATGTGTCTTAAAAAATCTCATGCCAGATGGCGCTTTGTGTTCATTGCAATATGTTGTTATGACAACAGTCTGTGCGATGTTTTCCTCTCTTTGATACTTGTCATGTGGCTGCCTCAGTACGTCCTCCGCTCCATAATAAATCATTGGTCTTTATTATTCTTGTGTGTGTATATGTGTGTGTATATATATATATATATGTGTGTATATATATGTGTGTATATATATGTGTGTATATATATGTGTGTATATATATGTGTATATATATGTGTATATATATGTGTATATATATATATGTGTGTGTGTATGTGTATACATGTGTGTGTATATATGTATATGTATATATTTTATATATATACAACTATATGAATTTATTTATTCTGACAGGTATCTATCTTCTGTCTTTTTGCCCTTCCCTGAAATCATTTTGTGTTATACTCTGCCATTCTTGTTTAATATCAAACAAACAAAGATGAATTGATACTGTTTTATACACCTGTCAATATTTAGATCCGGTATAAACTGCCTGTGGAGAGTCCATTTAACTTCCTGTTACCGTCACCACTTTACCCTGCTTCACACTGTCCTCTAGAGGCCGAAGATAATCACTGCACAGATCGTCAGAGGTGTAAGCATAAATCAGTATTATAGAGGTATAATATCATGTGTTAGATATTTCAACAGTAGCAAGTTTTTTCCAAACTGTTTTACTTTTACTTTTACAGTACAAAATAGCTTAGAATTGTATCTAAGTTATCGTTTTATGTATTGTTCTATTGGTATGACCCATTTTTAATATTGTCTGTCTTTCTCTCTCTCTCTCACTGGCTGCTTTCTTTTTAAAAGTTAAAGACCCCCTCCAGACATTCTTTGAAAGATAAAAATAAGTACTCGACTTTGATTAATAATGTGTGTGCACGTCTTAAAGGGGCAGCGTGTGGCATTCACGGAGATCTGTTGCAGAAATGGAATATGGTATCGATAAATATGTTTTCTTTAGTAGATAATCACTTGCAATTAAGAAATGTGTTTTCGCTACCGTAGCCATTTATATCTATATATTCAAAATAGTCTGATGGCAGTTTGTTTGTGAAAACAACAAAACAAATTTTCCTTTTTTTGTGTGACCAATGAATGTCATTGGTTTCAGCAAAAAAAACACATAGTTTGGTTTAGGAGAAATGTCATGAATGCGTCACTTCACGACAACACTTTGGGACACGAACACCGATCTCATGGTTGAAAGTCCTGTTTGTTTGACCCATCAGTTGATTTGGTCTGCAAACTCTCCGCTAGTTGCCAGCAAATCCTTCATACTGGACCTTTAAACTCACTTTTACGGTGAGCAGAGAAACGTTCCCCCTTCAGCAGATGAATGTGAAAACATTGTTTTTAAACTCTGCACGATGAAGGTCCGAGTGAAGTTACAATAGAGCTCTGAACTCACTTTCATTGTGCTACTGGATTCTCCGATGCTTCCAGCCCGTCCCTTTAAAACAAGCGCTTTCCTTTAATCCCCAAAAGAAATCAGGCGACAGAAGAAAAGAGATGAAGCAAATGGCAATTATACATGTGAAATACAGTGTTCATTGCAAAGCTGGTCGCAAGACTATCAGCAAGGGACATATTTCAGTAAATTAAATTACCAAATATAAAATAAATCATATGAGGAGGTCAATTTACAAATAAACATATAACACTACCCTGTAGAAAATAGTGAAAATTCATCACAATTTCTTAAAGCCGAAGGGGAAGTTTTCTAATGTCTTGTTTTGTTCCAAGCAACAGTACAAACCCAAAGATATATCATTTATCCAATAAGAAAATGAAAGGCAGCAGATGCTCAGTATGGGTTGGATGATGCATGTGTCAACTTCTGCCTTTTCTTTTTGCTGGATATTTTTTACAACCAGGTAATGTTTGGCGTTTCTGCTTTATTACTTTAATTAATCGATTATCAACACAGTTCCTGTCGTTGATTGCCCGTCCCATTGCAGCTCCAGTTCCCTGCTCTAGTATTGTACTGTGGCTACACAGCAGCATTGAGCTCATGTTTCCACAACAAGCAGAAGGGCTAAACTGTATTTAGCTCAGAGTAAACACCCGTATTGCTCTGTGGTTTTGAGGGAGGCTCGGCGGTGGCTTCGCTGGTCGTTGAGCTTCACTATCAGTGTGAAGAAATTGACTCTGCTGAACTCTGATTTGCTCTGTCTTCACCCGTGCCGTGTTTCCGCGCCATCTGTTGTTGAGGCCTTGCGGATGTATGAGTGTGATCACACATGGAGAAGGGTTGAGATAAATATTGGGTCTGTTTTAACTGCTGTTCTTTCCCTGATGCTTTACGAAGTGTCTGTGATACAAAGCGATATTTTCTGACAAGGGATTTGTAAATATATGCTGAGCACCTGTAACGAAACTAAGAGCAAAATGAGTGGGCTGTGTTATGTCTGTAAATGACTTCCTCAAAATCCAGAACTGTGAGCAAACCTGTTGCAAAATACTAACGGTATTATCCAACATCAAAAAGAGCATTGAAAAGCACAAATATAAATCAGCAACATAATATATAACTATATCATCTATTTAGGAAAGATCCCCAGGGAATCAGCATATGCACCACCCACACCTGATGCTCAGAGTAGATCCACAGGATGTGTTACTGATTTTACTCTACATCACACTTCTAGAGCTTCCTATTAACTTTAAAGGTCTGCTTATGATGGGGTGTTAAACCAGCCGAGATGTTCCCCATGAATCATGTTCATATTCACTGCACGATTCTGCAGTGCGTGATTTGCATCGGCTGCCAACGTACAGCACAGGAAGCAGTGTGGCCTCTATGTTCCACATTACTAAGTGTAAAGTAATGTGAAGGTGTTGAAAAGACTTGTAACACATCAGGCCTCTCATGCTAGAGATCGTTTGGCTTTCTGCTACAGACCAACAAGTTGTTTTTCTAAAACCTTACCTAACCTTAGTTGTTTGTCATAACCGTGGTCTACATCCTGAAACCTAAAAACACCTTAACCATACTAACCATTTTAGAAACTGTTGGCAGAAACATCCAATATCACGGTTTGGTCTTTAATAGCTTTTTGTATATTATATATAAAATTAGGACCAATATTGTGTACATATTATCATACATCCAAGTTATACTATAGTACATTTTTAAAGGGGAGCACCACCTAAATGAAGAATTCTAATATGTTATTTCCATGGCCTAGGAAAGTTCAATCAATATATGTGAACAGGAGCTGCTCTCTATCTCCCAAAGGAAGAAACCACAGAAGGAAGTCTCAAACCTGTGTCATCAAGTTCAAAGTGTGGAGCTGCTCCATAGACAATGAATGCTCGAATGACTTTGTTCTTTTTCTCTTTTATACCCAAATGAGCTTGATTGGATTGTAATGTTGTCAGTTGTGAAACACGTGTATCATATACTGTCTACGGAGCAGCTCCTCACTTAATACTTGATGGCATCACAGATTTGAATTTTATCACTATAGTTTTGGGATTTAGGTGCGAGTTGTTCAAATTTACAAATATTTTTGCACCGTCTTAGTCAACAGGAATAACATGTAGGAATTTTGAAAATGTAACTACACCTGCCATGTTTCAAAAATGTAATATGGTGTGTACTTTTTTGGTGGCGTCAGTGGAATTGAATTGAAATGAGCACAGGCCACAAAATGGATCCTTGAGGAACTCCCTTGGTTGACCCATCTGATGTTAAATCGTGACCTTCTAAGCTAATTCTGGGAAATATGTTCACCCTTAAGTAACATTCTAAAAGTTGGATCAGATCGAACAACCAGGTTCCCTGTTAACAAAGTGCAGCGGGTGGGGTTTCAAGGTACAGTGTTTTTTTTAATCTTGTGCAACATACCAAGATATGCACCAGCAAAGAAGACTGCAAGTTTGTAAACATGGATGCAAACAATGCTGGATTCAAAGTACTTACAAATTTGGCTCAGCAAATGTTGAATGAAGAATGAAATGCATTCAACACATGTTAGACCTGTTAGACATTGTTAGACCTCCAGAATACACACATTGCATCATGGTGAACAGCACTGCATGTAAACATAACTTCTGTATGTTCACAAGAAAAACTCCGCAGGGCCCCTTAAATTAAGTGACATCATAGACCACACTTTTATCACAAGGAAATGAATGTTAAAACAGACAAACATGTGGTGCTTTTCCCACCAATTAAGGTTAATTCAGTTGGCAGACAGTTGAAATAATGAGTGTACACTTTCCTGAGGTTTTACAATGTACTGAACTGAAACGTGAGGCAAAAACAACCTGAGATTGTGAATCTGAATTGGTTTTGGAATGAAGCTCGTGTTTGCTTCTACCTTAACACCTCAGTACATAAAAGTAACACTGTGAGGATGGGATCAGATGTGAGGTCATTGTCCGGTTGCAAATATTACACTGTTGCTTTTCATTTGAGTACACTGCTTCACTCTTCACACACTGTACATGAGCTAAGCTTTCACTACTTTTCCAGCCCATAGGAATTTAAATGTGGGCATGACTTGATGTCAACTCGACTGTCCACCTCCGAAACGCTCTGCTTCATGCTCATACTCGTCAGCGCTCAAGTCTTTTCGGGCAGGAGACTATAGCCTCCTTTCTTTCCATTGCTGCAGTAATCTCTGCTTTCCTGAGAAATTCACCAATACTAATAAGAAAATATGTAAACGCAGGAAGTGCTGGAATTTCATTCTGTCGCTCTGTTGATGTTCTTAAAAAAAAAAAAAAACGTTCCTTATGTAAACAGATTTAGTCCGTAATAGCTGGATTTATTTTGGATCCAGATGCTTGGAGTCCCTGGTGGCATAAGTGAGTCCACTTCAATGGTCAAGATGATTTGTTCGAGACACTATTTGACTGGTCTTGATTAAAGTAGGCCTCAAGCGTAAAAGGTCCTTGCCTCTTGTGTAACTCTTGGTGCCTCAGTTCCTTCATTTACTCTTCCTGGTGAAATCTCCTCTCTGTGAGTCTCTCGCTGGCGGATCCAAAAGTACAACTGTTGAGTTGGATCTTGTTGCCGTCTATAATATCCTTGGAGGAGCCTTCTGGTGACGTCCTTGCAGCACTGGAGAAGGACATGCTGACGTGCAGCTTCAGCAGCTTCCGGAGTTTCCTCTTGTAGCCCTTGCAGGCGAAGAAGTAGATGAAGGGATCCAGGCAGGAGTTGAGGTTCATCAGGCACACGGTGATGTGCAGCGACACCTGGAAGGCCGTGAGATCGGCGCAGTCGGGGCTCGACACCAGCTTGCGGATCATGTACTGCAGGATATCGATGTGATAAGGGCTGAAGCAGACAATGAACACCAGGGACACGCAGCAGATTACGCCGATGGCTTTGCGGCTCCGGCCGGACTTTTCCGTCAAATGGTTGCTCTTGGCGGAGAAGTGGAGTTTGGAGCACAGGACGGAGTAGCACACGAGGATGGTCACCACGGGCACGACGTAACCCAGGAAGACGGCACCGATCAGTATGGTGGCAACGTGGTCGACCTTCTCAAAGTTGGGGTACTCCATGCAGGTGATGAAGCCATCGGGTTCCTCGTTGGTCATCGGCATTCCCACGAGGGGGAGGGTCTGCACCAGGACCAGCAGCCACACGCCGACGCAGATGTAGCGCACGTTGCTGATCTTCCGGAGTCGGGCGAACGGCAGAGGCAGGACAACAGCGATGAAGCGGTCCACGCTGAGGCACGTCATGAAGTTGACCCCGGCGTAGGTGTTGATGTAGAAGATGAGTCCCGAGATCTTGCACAGTGCCTCGCCCAGAGGCCAGTGGAAGCCCAGGGCGTAGTAGACGATCCTCAGGGGCAGGGAGAGGGTGAAGAGGATGTCGGAGATGACCAGGTTGAGGGAGTACAAGGTGGTGGAGTTCATCTTCTTCAGATTGGGACGGATGACATGGAGGGCGAGGCTGTTGCCGAGCAGCCCCACGAGGAACACGACAGAGTAGAAAAGAGGCATGAGGACCCTGGCGTAGTCCCGGTGGGCATACAGGGTGTCACAGGTGGGCTCGTTAGAGGCATTGTTGGGGGATGACAAGGCGACGGTCACAGGTGCAGCAGTAGAACCCATCTTGATATTGTTGGAACCAGTAACTGCAAATAAAAGGAAAAATTAAATGTGAGACATTTATTTCATTGTGCTATTTTTTTCTCTCTCCTCTGATCCAAAATATGTGTTTTCAAAGGAAACAAAATCGGAGGTGTCAAGCAATGAAACACTGAGTCTATGCCTACGTTGAAATGAAACTCTGTCAAGATCTTGCTTTCAAAAAGGAAGTAAGAAAAGTTACAGTATTTGTCATTACTCCTGCCAGTTTCATTAAAGTATAGAACCTGAAAATGTCTGTAGTAATAGAAGTGTAATGAATTCTAAGATGATGTTAAAAACAAAACATCCTTTTGATGATTTCACCACATATCGAAGGGTCCAATGAAGAATACATAAGGGTGACATGACTTTAATTTCGTTTCTTTTACTAAAAATAGTTTTGAGCAGTTTCAGTGAACTCTCAGCTGATTTACCAGCAAAAACTTCAACTTTCACCTTTATTTTTATCCCCAGAGGGTAATTGGTCCCACAGCATAAGGCATATAAGAAAACATGGCAGAACATAGAATAAAGGGAAGGAGAAGTGGGCTCGAAGTCCAACGACAGAAGTCCCCGGTGTTCCACTCACATGTCCACAGTGTGCATCACATGTCCTGTGAAATAGAAAAGTTTCTTCTCTGTGGTGTGCGGTGCCACCTTGTGGTTCTTTTTGAGCAAAGCCCAGCAGACACCAAACTTGTCTATTTCCTCAGTCACTGTCACTCAACAAGACTTTGCACAATCAAGCCTTCAAATTTCTTAAAACAAAAGGTGAAAAAAAACCCCCATAAAAACAGGGTACAAGTCAGATGTGATTTAATCAGGTGTCTGACTGAAGCGCTAAAGGATCTGTCCTGTTTTCACTTATCATTGGGCTTGTATATGAAGACACAGCTTATCATTTGAAGGGTATGAGGTCATTGTGAGTACATTTCCAACCTGTTTATGAGAATAAAGGATTTACAGATTAACCGTGCCCCACTGGCTGACTCACAGGACATAGCTGTTGTTTTCGTGCTGTTTGCCGCTAAAAGTGACATGAAGAAAGTCTGTGAACAATCATGACTGGGATTCTGAATACAGCTGCAGCACTCTCACACTTACTCTGCATTAAAAAAAAAAAAAAAGCTGTGTGTTGAGAGACGTCCTTGTCTATGAGGAAGTCAGCTTCCCCAGGGTGCTCTGCCTTAGAATGGCAGGCCGCTGGAAAGTCATATTGTTGGAGCCAAAATTATAACCCGCTCTGCTGGAGCACATGATGCAGCGAAGAAACACGCTTCCTGGCTCATTAGCACAAGTGAAGAAAAAAATAATCACTTTCTAAAATGCCTTTCTTATCCAAATGAAGTTATACACGTACATTTAACAATCTGTAAATTAATCTTTGTTTTATGTCAAGAATATGCTCTGTACTTTTCCAATAACACTCGAGCTTTTCCAATAACACTCGAGCTGTCACCCACAACCGTGGGTGTTGTAACTCAGATTGATAGCTTGTAAATGTGTATTTTTAGCACCGAATTTCCTTCAGAGAAGAGCAAGCTTTTTATATTTTTCATAAGACAATATTAATTATGTTTAAAGTACAGAGGATATAGTTTGTAAGGGTGTGATGATCCTCCATTAGGTTTCATGTAGTAGATATCCGAGTCTGGAATACAATACAACCTCTCTCACAATGTAAATCCATCACAAGCCAAACTGCAAAACTGACACAGCTCGATGTATTACCCACGTTCACTTCACACGCGATGTCGTGTCACCAGGAACGGTTCAACCTGACCCTTCAAAAACAACACAGTTTGTGAAAGGGAACCTACCTCACAGATGGAATATCTTTTCCCCTTTGCCTTAAGTCACACGGATCCAGAAGACATGACACTTCTCTTGCAAAGCTTATATCAACTAGAAGGGATGTCCTGACGGCACTACCACGAACTCTGTCCTGTACGAGAGCAGCATGACATTCAGAAATCAAGATCTGCTCAAGTAACCATAGTGACAAAATATCCTCTCTCTCTCTCTCTCTCTCTCTCTCTCTCTCTCTCTCTCTCTCTCTCTCTCTCTCTCTCTCTCTCTCTCTCTCTGCCAACATGTGTGCGTGTGTCTCCGCCTCTCACTTTTGCATAACCTTTCAAACTTTCTTTCTGTCGGCACACACTTTTGAAACACTTACTGATTGCAACCAAAAAATGAGATAAATCATGTGACACATTGACTTGTGTAATATGTCATTTGGCCTTAGTTGATTGATAAAGCTGAGGGGGTGGGGTGTGTGTGTGTGTGTGTGTGTGTGTGTGTGTGTGTGTGTGCTCGCTCTTTGGAGGATGTGGCTTCAGATGTACAGACGAGATCGTCCAGAGTTGCTTTTGTTGGCCACCCATCTTGTTTTATTCTTATGAAGAATAAGTGCAATCTTTGTACTAATACTAATACTAATTTATTAATGTTGCACAATAAACGCATCACAATTCTTTCTCTCTTTTTTCAGTTTCTGATCAATTTGCCTTTTGGTTGCATACAAATGAGTGGCAGCGAAATGAGGAACTTCCCCTTTGCTCCAGAAGCACCTTTGTTTTGATGTCTTGAGCTCATAATGACTTTCAGAAAAGAAGAGCCAAGTGACTCATCTCTCTCTCTAGATCTACATCTCTCTCTTTTTATTTCTTTCTTTTGAAATAAATAACAATGATTTGCTTTCAGACATCGAGTATTAGCTGTTAGCAGTACTGATTGCAGGTGTGCCCCATTTGTTCTGCCCCAAATCACCAGTGACTTCCTGTGGTTAAAGCACATCGATACCACAGAGTATAAAAACGGGAAAGCAAAAAAGGTGATGGTTTTAGATGTAAGTGTATAGCAGCGTACTGTCGTTTTGGAGTGCGAGATCAGAGACCATTTGAAATGTAAGATGTGGTCAAGCCTTGAGATATTACAGGCAAGAAAATGAGCAGAAGAAAATGTGTTATTAGGTGAAGATTCTGTTCTCAATATTTGGATCACGGGTTGCTAAGCACATACTTAAGCTTTGTGTACAAACTGCTGCCCTGCGGTTTTCACACCTGTGAATTTCTCCCACCCTGCTGAGTACCGCTCAGTAGAAGTGTTTCTTTCCAGCTGCAATCAAGAGAAATACAAAAAAAAGTAAAAAATTAAGTTATCAAGAATTGTGCCAATATTTAAATGCTGTTTGACAAAAAATATATATGTATACAAGCATCATATTGTGTGTTTTTTATTGACCACAACCTTCCTTTGTTCAAAACAAGTCCGGCGGCGAGGCAGAGGAAGCAGCCTGACTTCCTCATGGCCTCGCCTTGTGGGTCTGACTCACTGGGCATCAGACGGCTGGATCACACTGATCGCTGACAGACAGCAGACATGGTGCTCTGCCACGGCTATTCATAGAAGACAATGGAGCTGAAAACCAAAGGACCACTATGGCGTCTTTACACTCTGTCCCTGTTGAAATCGGGATGAAGATATAAAACAATGATGATGATGAAATATATATATACAAATGTGCAGAAACCATGAGAGAATTGGCAGACTTCTCAGAGCATTTGATGAGAATCATTGTTTTGCATATCCTGTGCATAATAAAGGAAGTTATGAGACAAAAAAAACATCTAAAGAGGAAATACTCCGTATCTGTTGAAATATATATGGTTATCTGCCATTTATGCTCTAATTTATATGTTTTTTTTGGAGGAAGATTAACCTTACAAAAACTGTAATATAATGCTTTGGTATTCCCCTATCATACGCTACTGTTTCTTTTGTTCTATGTATTTAAAACTTCTCTTATATGGCTCTTACCAGGGGCGTTTCTAAGATTCAAAGAAAGGGGGGGCGTAGCCCCAAAGGGAGAGGCATGTTTGGCAATTTTTTTTGGGACCCATATGGCGCAGCGGATATCCATTGTTTCAGACAGTTCATAGATTGGTTCAATCAGAAAGAGTGTGATTTTGCTCTGTAGTTTTGCTTGCATTTAGTATATGATAACACAAGAGACAGAATTTCAGGGTCATAGTGAAATTTGACAACACAAATGTGAACTTTTCTCAAATAAAGAGAGAGAAATTATTTTCCTGCTTGTAAAGGAAAGACGGATAAACTAGCTTTCATATCCGCGTCACTCCCAAATCCTAATTCTTAAAAGGACCGCACACAATGGATGAAGAATGGACCTGACAACTTTATATCGTTAAGTATGACGATAGGCTATTGAATTGTAATTTGAAGGGGGAGAAAACATACAAACCAGAACGCACACACAGATGTAGCATGTTAGAGTTATAAATAACTTGTCCATGTGAGAAACAATAGTTTAATTTAATGACATCACCAAAAAAACATTTTTTTTTTTTTTTTTTTAAAGCCAATAATGCCAAATTATTTGGGGGGGGGCTTCAGCCCCCCTAAAATAGGCCTAACGACGCCCCTGGCTCTTACTCTGTGTGATTTTACAGCACGTATATATATTCCAGTTTGATCACACTACTGACTGGAAGATAATAAATCTCAGCGAGACCTTTGCTCTATGGTACTAAGACAGGGGTCGGCAACCTGCGGCTCTTCAGCCCCTCTGTTGCGGCTCCCTGAGTCTACATCCACACTAATACGTTTTCGTTTTAAACAATCTCCGTCCACACGGCGTTTCAGCATCGTTTTCTAAATGATCTCCGTCCACACGGCGTTTCAACATCGTTTTCGAAATGATCTCCGTCCAGACTTAAACACCTGAAATGGAATATTACGTGACTATTCACGTACACTGGGCATGTGGGTGGGTGCCGGTGTAAATAGGAAGTAGATTGGTTGCTCAAAGCCGCTAACGTGACTTCAGACGGCCGCTCCATAGGTCTGATAACGCCGCTGGTCACGCTGCTCGCTAATCGCTCCAATAACAGCTGCTTCCTCCGCAGAAATGCAGACTTTAACTGGACAACAGCTGCAAGTAAAGACAACAAGGTCAGTAATACCTGACCTTAAATAAAAATGTTTTAATATTTTGTCAACTAAAATGTGCGTCACATCCTATTACGTCGCTGTCAAGCGCCTTTCCCTGCAGGTGGCTAATCATGATTTGCAGACCCCCGCCCTCGGTAAACTATCAATGGATAAATCCAAAAAAAGAAAAGTCACGGAGGAAAATAGAGAGTTTAATTCTGCGTGGACGTATTCATTTGCTTTCACTGCCAATGATGCTGGCTTACCTGTATGCTTGATATGTGCAAAGAATGTAATGTTGAAAGACACTTCCAGAACAAACACACAGCATTTGCTGAAAAGTGTCACGCTGGAGATGAGCGACAAAGAGCGATTTGTCAACTGCTGCAGCAAACTCTCCTCTTCATAAGAGTTTGATATTGTTACAACAGGTAAAATACCAATAAAATGTCAGGATCCCTGTCTGACCCATTGTGTGTTAACCTCTGTTTTCCCCCAATCTCCTCTCCTCATGTGTCTGTCTTTCCCCTGTTTGTTTTGTTGTGCCATGTGCTTGGTGTTGTTTTCTCGGGCCTGCCTCCAGACACCTCCCATTGCCACCGCCCTGATGGATGCACAGCTGCGGACAATCTGGCTCGTTACCCAGCAGCATATCAACCCTGGTCTTGCAGGCCTGGGTTGTCAGTCCGTGTTGTCTTTTGCCTCGGTAGCCTCCACTGCCGTTCGGTAAGTTGAACCCTGTTGTTCCTTCCTGAACTAATCTCTCTCCTCTCTGCTACGGGTGTAGAGTACTGGGGACATCACACCGTCGATCTGCCTACCCTCCGGTGTCGAGCCACGG